CCCCACGCAACGAGTTGCGGAGGGTATAATGTTTTTGACCCGTCCGTCCGTCTGTCCGTCCGTCCGTCCGTCCGTCAGTCCGTCAGTCCTATTTCTTGTCATCGCAACTCCTCTCAAACCACACAACAGAATTTCACGAAACCTTTTTAGATAATAAGGACATACTATGTAGTTGTGCATATCGACAGGAAATTACGATTCAATTTTTTTCCAGGAGTTACGCCCCTTTGAACTTATTTACTTTAATGTACTACTACAACCTTTTGTCATCGCAACTCCTCTCAAACCACACAACAGAATTTCATGAAACCTTTTCAGATAATAAGGACATACAACGTAGATGTGCATATCGACAGGAAATTACGATTCAATTTTTTTTCCAGGAGTTACGCCCCTTTGAACTTATTTGCCAAATATACTACTGCAACTTTTTGTCATCGCAACTCCTCTCAAACCACACAACAGAATTTCATGAAACCTTTTCAGATAATAAGGACATGCTATGTAGATGTGCATATCGACAGGAAATTACGATTCAATTTTTTTTCCAGGAGTTACGCCCCTTTGAACTTATTTGCCCAATATACTACTGCAACCTTTTGTCATCGCAACTCCTCTCAAACCACACAACAGAATTTCATGAAACATTTTCAGATAATAAGGACATACTACGTAGATGTGCATATCGACAGGAAATTACGATTCAATTTTTTTTCCAGGAGTTACGCCCCTTTGAACTTATTTGCCCAATATACTACTGCAACCTTTTGTTTTGCAACTCCTCTCAAACCACACAACAGAATTTCATGAAACTGTGTAGATAATAAGGACATACTATGTAGATGTGCATATTGACAGGAAATTATGATTCAATTTTTTTTTCTGATACAATTTTTTTTCTTTCACTTATTTTATTTCTCCAATGACAATGTGGGGACGTGGGGTATGTGAGCGCGCTCACTAAGGTTCTGTAATTTGGTAATGAAAAGATATCTAGATATGTAAAGGGATATTCATAAAATATTGCAATTTGATCTTTATTGTACCTTTATTCTATCTGTAGTAAGGACAGCAATGTTGTAATGAGAACTTTTCAAAAACATTATTTAATATTATTTTAATTTTGCTGTTTGGCTGTATATGTCACTGGCATAAGAAATTTGTTTCTCTCTTCCCTCCCCGTCGACGTTTTTGGCAAAACAATATAAAAAAATAAGAAAATGAAAATGAAAGAGAGAACACTGACTGAGAAATTTTTTGGGTTTTTTTGCTGCCAATTTCAAAAGTTTGCCCCCTCCAACCATTCAGAACACTTTCTGACGTTGCCTCCACCTTTTTGTCTACTCTTACGCCACTGTATGGTTATCATTATCAACGTTGATCTTCTAAACTATAAGTAGATACTTCTTAACAAAATCACCAGGAGTGACCATCACTGATTCTTAAAATAATTCATTATTACACCTACATTTAAGACAAAGCAAAGCGATGGAAAAACGAAAAGTCAATTGATTTAAACTTCAGTGTATGATTTTAAATACACCATATCCACATTTTACCTTTTGCTGTTCAATTAGTTTGTTTAGAAACGTCTGAATTGTAATAACTTGCCATTTCCAAATAAAGTCAAATGAAGTTAACAGATCTTAATATATGACCAGCCTTGACTGTACTGACATCTAACCATATCTGATCCAAGATATTATTAATTACAGTTTACACCTGATCAGATAAGAATCGTGTACGGTTCAGCCAAATTTTGATTAAGTGTAAGATTTTGACAAGCCTGGTTCAGACTTGGTCGAATCAATTTCAGATTGGATTTTGTTCGGTCCATTCTCATATTAAGTAGAGTTCAGTTCAGTCTATTCCGAAATTTATTCATAATGTTACTTGTACGATTTGATAGTGGTAAGTACAGTTAAGACAAGTTAAGACCAACAAGCAAAATACGGACCTTTACAGTCTATGAAGTCCAGTGAAGTAAACTATTAGAAAGAAAAATAATAATTTCACACTCGCACTGCATCGTATCCATTATATATACAATATTATGGAGACAGTAGGTTCATTTGCCATTTTCTGTTCAAATCTTCATGACGCTCTTATCCCATTTTTTTGAGCGGAATGCTTTGCACACTCGGCGCTAGATTTCGACAAAGCTACATTACTTTAACAGCCCATGACGCTATGTATGTATTTATTTTCTCTTATTTTCGCTTGGACATATTAGAGGAGATTTATACCTTTAGCCTTATAACATAAGCCACTGCTCGCCTTTTCAACACACGAACCTAATTTATTCTCATTTTCTAATGCATACTCGGAAATCCTTGTCTTTAATCTTAACTTTTATTAACTTTTCACCTTAAATTCAATCTCGAAAGGAATATTTTCTCTTAGACATCAGAAATTTTATCCTGACCATTATTTAATTTCAACAATATTATTGGTCTTATTACGCATGAAAAGATGCATTACATGAAACAGATTGTGCATATATAAACATATGTGTGTTATATGATTGGTATTGTGACGTTTACATAGAAATGTGCTTATGTATAGGATGGCATCATGACGTTTACATACAAATATGCGTTATACTAGGTGCAGGATGGATTCTTGACGTTTACATTTAGATGTGCGTTATGTATAGGATGGAATCATGACGTTTACATACAGATGAGCGTTATAGGATGGGAACATGACGTTTACATATATAGATGAGCGTTATAGGATGGAAACATGACGTTTACAAACAGATGTGCGTTTTGTATAAGATGGAATTATGACGTTTACATACAATGTGCGTTATATTACATGTAGGTATAGTATGGAATCAGGACGTTCACAAACAAATGTGCGTAATAGGATGGAATCATTACGTTAATAACAAATGTGCATAATAGGATGGAATCATGACATTTAAAAACTAATGTGCGTTATACGATGAAATCATGACGTTTATAACAAATATGCGTACTGAGATGAAATCATGACATTTACAAACAGATGTGAGTAATAAAATGAAATCATGACGTTTATAACAAATGTGCATAAAAGGATGGAATTATGACATTTACAAACAGATGTGCCTAATATGATGGAATCATGATGTTTACAAGCAAAGGTGCATTATACTAGGTGCAGGATGGAATCGTGACGTTTACTGACAGATGTACTTAACATATGACCAGCCTTGACTGTACTGACATCTAGCTACACTGGGTGTAGGATGGAATCGTGACGTTTACAAATAAATGTGCGTCATACTAGGTACAGGATGGAATCGTGACGTTTAACGCACATAAAGTTGCACAAGATTGGTACATTATATAGCTGTTCAAGTGTAGTGTATTATTGTGTTCGTTTGTTTTGTTTGTTTAAATAAAATTATTATATTCATGAACATGTCTGAAACACTGTAGTCTAACTCAGACAATTCACTTTTCAAATAAAGTGTTTTGTTTGAACAACAACACAGCTGGAAGCATTTTTACCAGGATAAAACTGTGCTAGAAAAAAGCAATAGAATAATGAAGCGCCTCGATAAAAGAAATGTAAAACAATCCGAATGGAACCATTTTCCCCAATACACAACATACTGTCTTCCTTCTCCATCATTTTATGGTTTTTATTGGCATACTAAGTGAACATGTGGATGATAAAGGCGTTCCTTTGATAATTTTGAACATTTATGAGAACATTTAACTCCTCGTATGGTATGTGTTGATAAGTCTCGTACTGGGCACATCGTGGTTGGCATTTTTAGATATCAAAGCCTAATTGGACTCTTATGTGGTTTATCAAAACATTGGAGCATAGAAGCAAGATGATTGGATGAGAAAATCTGAGTTTATTTTGTACAGAAATGTGGGTATAAACATGAAATTGTGGTTAATGTTAGCGAATATACACAGCATAAAATATTAGCAGCAACTTTTGAACAAATCAACATAGATATATACATATGTACAATAAAACAACGTGTAACGAAATTATCCAGCTTCTTGGCTATATATCACCAATGCCTGTTCAGGCAAATGCATCTATCTCTCCTATGAGCTGTGTGATAATGTGTCAGTTTAAAGTGCACATCATATACGAAGATTTAATGAATTTTCCTATTCTGTAAATACTGAAAGTAAACTAATCCAGTCACTGATTTCATTGATAACGGCAGTGTTCGGTTTTTAAAACGTGCAATATTTTATTCTTTTATCTTATACCTTTTTTTGAAAGAAATTCGCATACTTCAAAATCAAATTATAGATTCCTGCAAGATCCTTAACTTATTTAACGTTCTATATTAACATTTCAAAGATATTTAGAAAATTCCCATTTCGTTAAATAAAACCATATTGGCTAAATTATTAAAAGGAAGGCCTTGTCTCATGCCCCCTCCTCCTCGCATCATTTGCGACATCATCATCATTGGCAGAACATTATCGTTCCCACCCATCATCATTGCCATAGGAAACATACTGCTCATTCCTCCACTTTGGCGCTGTGCCATCTGAGCTTTGGCTAATAAAGCTAACCTTGCTCTTTGTTCATTCATCGACCTGGCATTGGCTCCTGAAATTATTTTGTCTTCTTTTAAAGATAGGTTTGAACAAACACATTGTGTGAGCCTCTTTGATATTAGTTATTCAAGGTAACTTGATTAAGCATTGATCTCTATAATCAGTAAGAAAGATTTTTATGCACAGTAAAAATATTTATGTGGTATCCCTACGTTTACCTTTTAGACTTTTTTTTCCAAAGTGATTTCCCCTATTATTACCAAATTCATCATTGGAAAAAATATTATTTACTAGAGATAATATATTTTGACATTCTTATGTATCACTATATTGATTAAATTATAACATGCATTTAGATCTAACATAGCAAGCTACACAGATTATGCTTGTTAGCTTCAGTGAGATCATTGAAGAGAATAAAGGTTGATTGAAAGATATGCATTTGGCTACAAATATAGTTTGAAAGCAAGCAAGCAAGAAATTAATTAAACAAAAGCAAGGCATACACCACGAGTTTGTTTAGTTTATTTTTTACAAACAACAGCACGTGAAAAGCAAACAACACAATCAACAAATACAGGCCAAAGATGTCTGTTTTATAAATATCGACGGATAGTATCACACAGTCATTAAACGTTCATAGATCACATCTTATGTTACAGTCACTGTCTACGGGACACATTCAACTTAATTAAACATGCGGTTCATTAATAACATATTCATAAGTCCGCCGCCACTTGATGATCCTTGGCCTCCGGATGATGATCCTCCTTGACCTTGGGACATTAATAAAAGTGGAAGCATGGACTCGCCCATTCCTCCTTCAGCCATCAACATAAGGGGCATCATGCTTCCCATACCACCTCTTCCGCCTCTACCGGACATGAGCATCTGAAGCATCAAAGGGTTCATTTTGCCGCCTTTTCCCATTGCCATCAATGCTGGCAACATGGCACTACTGCTACCTCCACGCATTTGCCTGACTGCTTGTTGTCTCTGTGCTGCTTGACCTGTAACATTTATTGTGCGTTATACTCGTTAAAGAATGTGATATTGTCCACTTTCCACGTGCTGTTACCAACATGCAGTCTTTTCATTATGATTGTTAATATTTACTATTCATTTAGTTAACTGGAGAATGTTTTAATCAGACAATGCCATTATTAATTCTCTCAAGATGTAACTTTTATTTTCTAAATAAAAAATTACGTACTGAACGACAAAAGAAACACAACACTTTGAATTTTATTAAACTATTTAAAGTTTGGTATTGCTTTTTTATAGATATAATGCTAGAATTAACAATGAATCTTTCGTTTTTCATCTATGTTTTACGTTCTAACCGAATAAAGATTCAGATTTAACGAAACCGTAGAACGAAAAAGTCAAATGCAGAATCAGAGTAAAACTATTTTCTGAATGGATAGACTTTGTTTCAATGATATCCTGCAGTATGAGTTATGATAACGTTATCTGCTCCCCCTCAAAGAGAACGCTAGGTTCGATGTGCTACTGCTTAAACTAGAAATAATCAAAATTTGGTTATATAATTTGACATAACTCTTTACTGATTTGGATTAAAGATGTTGAAATATGTATTCCCATGAAGTAAATATCGTTTGTTTAAAATTAAATTTGAAAACTGGGGTTTTGTATTTCTTTTTACGTTCAGTATATGATATGGGTGAAAAACAAAATGTTGTAATGGTTGGGATATACAAGTTATATGATGTGTTTTGCTGCTAAAAAGCCAGCTGTTCTGACTGTCAATGATATGTTAATAGAGATGTCATTTACATTGAACATGCACTTCAATGTTAATGTTAAGGAAGGAAGAGAAGAAAACTTAAACATAGAATTATTACACAGTTTACATTAATGAAAACACAAAACAAACAAAAAGCATTCAATGTATTTACTGAAAAATAACGAAATAGTATACACGTAACAAAAAACCGACTATGTGACACAGTCTATGACACAATCCACACTTGAAGAAGTCTTTTGTAAAGATTAGTGATGATTCCATCATTTCATCTTGTTCATTAACAGAAATGGAAGCATATTAGTGTTTCCGTTTCCGCCTGAGAAGGCTCTACTAAACATTTGATAGCGCATTAGGTCCTTTCCAGCATCACTTCCCATCATCAACATCATTGCTAAATTTGAACCTATCAAAAATGATGAGAGACAAATAGATAAGAATACATCCTTGTGTTCTTTTATTTGACTACATCTCTTTGAAGTATTTAAATTAATGTAACTCTTTTGACTTTTTTTTATTAACCCATTAAATATCTTAATTCTTTTTTATAAATTACTTTGTCACATTTATTTTTTTACTGAAAATCAAAGTGATATGAAACTACATTGAAATTGATAGCAAAAGTTAAGCGAAACTGAAGCTATTTTATAAAATGTAGATATATAAATGTTGTATATTTAAATTTTTGAACTTTATCTCTAAATTTAAAAACAAATGCAGAATTGAAATTTGCTAATAGATCTACTAGCTACATACTTGACATCTACTCTACAGATATGTATGTTACATCCCCTAAGTCTATGTAACATAATCGCTATATATCAGTGTAATAAATATCATTACTTCAAAAATCATGTTCTTCCTATCAAAGTATGAATATTGAAAGTCATAAGAAGGTCACATGGACAATTATCAAGATATTTTGGCCGCTTCGTCATATTGACAGTTTAACTACTATTTCGCATGATTCCAAAATCAATTGTCACATGAATGACCAGCCGTGTATAAAACCGCTGTCCTTCATGTTAATATTATGGATATGTTGACATTTTATTGGAGTCAGAGAGTCTATTTCCAATATATAAGATAATTAATGCATAAACGAGGTTCTAGTGAATCTTAAGGCTTAATAGAATTTGTCATCAGATGCAATAAAAGGTGTATAAAATATCTTATAATGTAACGAAGTACCACAAATTGTCACAGCAAATATCAATAAAATTACCTAAGCGAGGAATAGGTATAAAGAACTGATAAGGAATGAGTTAACATAGCTAACAATCAAATCGATGAAAATAATAATTTGATTACGTATATAATTATAGATCTGGAACAAAATTCCATTTCCTTTGCCATCTGAATAAAATTATTCTTAAATTAGAGGACACGTAAATTTGAAAGATATTGCATACATTTATTTATCCATCTAAAAAAATTAGCTCTTGAAAAGTTTGTGCAAAGGATTGCTGTTAAAAGACAGAAAAGTTAGTTCATTAAATTGGTGAGTCATGCAATACTAATAACCGTGCAAATAGTTGACATATAAACCATCAGAATTCGTCGTTCCATTGTTGAATATTTCAACCTACATGTATTTATAAATTTTATCTAAATGATATTTCGTTGGAAGTAAAACGATTTATAGAACTAATGCAAGAATTCGAATGTCGACGGTTTTCTTTTTATAACATTGACTTTCAATACAAAGTAGAAAATAAAAGAAGCTTTACATATTTGTTCAACGCATTCTGGTTTGTGTTCATTAAACTTGATTAACATCGCCTTGACATCAAAGCCAAAAGAGTGAAAGTACAGGATGTATTTCACATGTGAAATGTGTTTTTTCATTTACTGGTATTTTATCGCCACCAATGTTAAACATTATTTTAATTTTTTTTATTTAACCACATTAATTATCATTGAAATATCAGTTAAACTCGAGTTTTTACAGTACTCTTTTTGTAAACAAACAAAACGATATTTTATAGGAATATAAAACTTACAAACAAATGTTTTTGTTACAGTACTCAACATAATTTGCACGGAAATGTTTGATATTAGTATGATATAATTGAACTCGACTTCAATACTCACCAGCGGCCTGTGATCGGACATGAGCTACCATCACACACAACACTAAGGCAATTATCAATACGCACTTCATTGTGTCTCTGTAAAATAATCAAAGTTAAATCGTGAGTAAGAGGATAAGTAACAGATAAAAAGATCTTTAAAACTACATCTTAATGCTAAATTTAATATAGGCGAACAAAACTTGACAGTTCTGGACCAGAAAGAAATTACCAAAAGTATACAAACAGATCGCTTCTTCCTGGTTGGTTGTAATGCATTTCAACTTTGGTTATATGTAAGTCCAGCGAATGGTTTCTGATCAATTCAGGACAACATTTGATATATAATTATTGTTTTCCTAGTTTTTTCTTTTTAATTTTTGACAGGAATGTGTACAATTTGGTTGTGAGATTTTAAGTTGACACATCAGTAAATTTCTTACATCAACAGACGTCGAATAAATCCATATACCGAGAGGTTTTATCTTCTTTCGCTCCATAAATAAGATGTGTACATTTGCAATGCGAACTATGTATCTTTTGAATATCTTTTAGAACGTTATTTTACACCATTCGCATACTTCTAGACGTCATGCGATTGTTATACTATGGCCAAAAGTATGTATATATCACTGCTTGACACTTTACAGAATTTCATTCTTTGAACATTATTCATGTGCTTGCTTTTTTATTTTACAGAAAAAAACTATTTCAATTAAGTTTATATTGAGAGAACCATTTTTGTTTTTACTTTGTTAGACTAACTTATGGTTGAACTTTGACCCTAACTTTTTTTTTCATGGATAACTCTTGAATTAATGTTCACAGTTCAAAAAAGAATCAGGTAGATTACTGTCGAAAGAAGTAAAAATAGACCCTTTTTAGTCAATATCTATGACTACGATATTCATTAAAATTGATTTTCTCTTAAAGATCCTATATACTAGTATTCCTTATATCGGAAGAAAATCGTTTTGAAAGTGAAATGAATATGTGCACAAAAGAAATACCTCGTAATACTTTTTTGTGAGCCTGTTGGCTATTTAACGAAGTGCTTTTATCTTGCTCCTAATCCCTGTATAAAATTGTTGGCATGATAAAAAAAAAAACGTCAATGTTTATATTACAGAATAAAATTTGAGTGTAATTTCTTATGGGAAGATCAAATAAACAAAAACAACAACATTTTGAAGTACGCTTACAATATGATGTACAAATGTCAACAAACTTGTGGCGGAGCATTACATTTGCTCTCATAATCATTGAATGTATGCGCAATTGCTTATTTCAAATTTTTCTTTCGATGTATATCCCGATTGCATTTATTGTGTTTGCCCCTATTTCATTTTAATCCCCTCTTTCCCATTGTGTATGTCTACGCGCTCATTGGTATCCCTATACCATTAGCTTGCTGTATATGTCATGGATACGAATTTTCTCCTTTAAATAAGTAATACTAAAGGGATTCTTTTGATATTCTTATATATTTTATGGCTTTTTCTCAGAAAAAATATTTAAACGTGAATGTATTTGTATTAAGTCTAAAATGAACACTCGGAATCATTAAAACAAAAAATCATTTTTTTACAATAGTATAGTTAAGCTGCAAAACTTGAGAAACAACATTACAACATAATACCTTATTAGCAATTTCAATTTGTTGGATGTGTTAAAAAATAGTTCTTGTAATGTATTATTCTTGTCACGAAATCTAAAAGGTAATTAAAGTAACAGACATTTGAAAAGAGAAACACCCAATCACGTGGCATTTTATTTTTGTAACATAATTTATTAGGAAATACGACCAAATTTGTTGCTTTACGCTACCGAGCGTTACATTAAAGTAAATTTATGGGTAACAGAGAAAAAAATGAGAAATCACCACTTGCTCCTCTCTTAAACAAAATTATTAAAATGAATAACACAGATTGATAAGGATACAAACTCATTATAGATACCAGGCTTATATTTTGGTATTCGAGACTTGCGTTTCTTCTACAAAAGACCCATCAGTGGCGTTCGAAACAAAAGAGTTCAAGGGAATACGAAATAAAGAAGCATAAAAAATCGAAAATCCCGAAAAGTATTGCAAAACACGACTTAAGCAATCTATCTGGGAATAGATAAACTTTGTTGGTTTTCCAATTTGTTAGATATTGTAATATTGAAAATCATTTATTGAAGTTTTCTGATATTTCACAAATATTTTTTAAATGGTTTTCGTTTGTACTATACAAACAAACAAGAGCAAATGAATTCTAGCATACACATGTACTGTTATATTGTATTACTCTAAATGACAATCTATAAAACTGTTACAAATCAAACTTTTAAATAACTAACTGAGTATTGTATAAACGTTTATATTTCGCTTCTCTTTAAATATGCATGTTACTTAAAAGTGTAATATTTTCAAAAAAAATCCTCAGATGTACGTTAGTCCTGTAATGAAATTCAACCAAACATATCTCGATCTGAAAATTAGTTTAAAAAACAAACTCTTTTCTTCTTGCAAATCCAGTTGTAGAATAATTAATGCAAGATGTATCCCAAACTATGAATAAATTACAACTTACGTGATCAGAAAATCTACTGAAACTTTCAAGTTAATATGTCCTACTTGTTGTTAGGAGGCAAGCTACAAGTCTGATGATACTTGGTCTTCAACAAGTGGTTTTAAAGCCGTGACACTCCGTTTATGCAAATGATGTATAACAATGCATTAAAGTCGCCTATAATTAATGGTATTGCTGTCTTGTATGAATACTATTGTCTGTACACGACACGCTACATTTACCCCCAGGCAGTGACGTATTCGTGACCCTGTATAATAAAAAAAAGATGGACAAACGGTTTATTTTGCATGAAAGTTAAAAACTTCTAACGATCAAAATATTAGATAAGAAAGATATTTCTTTTTTAAAAAATGAATAAACTCTTTATTGGGATAGCAATCAGATGAAAATCTGTATTTTTACAATGGTCAGTGTGGCATTTTTACAATGGTCAGTGTGGTATTTTTACAATGGTCAGTATTGTTTACATGGCATTACATAACAAACGTCTATAGGTAAAGATGAACGTGGAAAGATGATGAATAATTACATGATCTGTCTTGCAATAAACAACGTATTATGATTTTAGAATTATACATAAAATATGAGGTTATTAAACTGACATAACTGTTAGATAATCGTTGCTAACAAATGGACGAGAAATTTGTTCTGAAACAAGTCAAACCACGTGCACAGGGAGGCCAGTCATTCAAATGAGGCAATAGTGAAAATAAAACTTCTATAATTATTGACCTAAAATGTTTACCCTATTTGATTATTTAAGCTGAATTTATATAAGCAAAATATTCAGAGTTCTAATTAAAATTTGGTTTAACAATCTAAAAGTTCAGACCGTCTTCTTTCTCATATATTGAGAAGTTTAAGATTTGTCAATTGGACACTCCAAACACTAATATCGATTTAAGTTATTTATTTTATATTTTTGTGATATGTTTATTTAAAAAAAACTATAACTGATCTAGTAAGTTTATGAAGAAAATGACCTCAGTTTAAAGCAATGTTTTGTTCTTTCTAGATAAACATTCTTCTTTAGCTGCTGTAAATTGATATATTAATAGAGGTAGTGTATGTCATTGAGACAACAATCCAACGACAATAGTGTCCAACATAGAAATCTACAGGTTTAATTAGTGAAAAGATACAAATGGTAATCAAAAACCATAGGTTGAAGAAAGACAAAACAAATAGCAGTCCTCACAACACTACAAAATAAAACAAATAGCAGTCCCCACAACACTACATGATAAAACAAATAGCAGTCCTCACAACACTACATGATAAAACAAATAGCAGTCCTCACAACACTACAATATAAAACAAATAGCAGTCCTCACAACACTACAAAATAAAACAAATAGCAGTCCTCACAACACTACAAAATAAAACAAATAGCAGTCCCCACAACACTACAAAATAAAACAAATAGCAGTCCTCACAACACTGCAAAATAAAACAAATAGCAGTCCTCACAACACTACAAAATAAAACAAATAGCAGTCCTCACAACACTACAAAATAAAACAAATAGCAGTCCTCACAACACTGCAAAATAAAACAAATAGCAGTCCTCACAACACTACAAAATAAAACAAATAGCAGTCCCCACAACACTACAAAATAAAACAAATAGCAGTCCTCACAACACTACAAAATAAAACAAATAGCAGTCCTCACAACACTACAATATAAAACAAATAGCCGTCCTCACAACACTACAAAATAAAACAAATAGCAGTCCTCACAACACTACAAAATAAAACAAATAGCAGTCCTCACAACACTACAATATAAAACAAATAGTAGTCCTCACAACACTACAAAATAAAACAAATAGCAGTCCCCACAACACTACATGATAAAACAAATAGCAGTCCTCACAACACTACATGATAAAACAAATAGCAGTCCTCACAACACTACAAAATAAAACAAATAGCAGTCCCCACAACACTACATGATAAAACAAATAGCAGTCCTCACAACACTGCAAAATAAAACAAATAGCAGTCCTCACAACACTACAAAATAAAACAAATAGCAGTCCTCACAACACTACAAAATAAAACAAATAGCAGTCCTCACAACACTATAAAATAAAACAAATAGCAGTCCCCACAACACTACAAAATAAAACAAATAGCAGTCCTCACAACACTGCAAAATAAAACAAATAGCAGTCCTCACAACACTACAAAATAAAACAAATAGCAGTCCTCACAACACTACAAAATAAAACAAATAGCAGTCCTCACAACACTGCAAAATAAAACAAATAGCAGTCCTCACAACACTACAAAATAAAACAAATAGCAGTCCCCACAACACTACAAAATAAAACAAATAGCAGTCCTCACAACACTACAAAATAAAACAAATAGCAGTCCTCACAACACTACAATATAAAACAAATAGCAGTCCTCACAACACTACAAAATAAAACAAATAGCAGTCCTCACAACACTACAAAATAAAACAAATAGCAGTCCTCACAACACTGCAAAATAAAACAAATAGCAGTCCTCACAACACTGCAAAATAAAACACAGATTGAACAACATGAACCCGAACAAACACCGCGGGGAGAACTCGGACTCTTCAGAAGGATATTCAGTTCTTATGAAAATGAGGAGATTTGGTGTAATAATTAATGAAAATTTCCATTAAAAAAGACAAAAGGACCAAAATGTGAACAGATATAGTTCACCGTACGGGTGCCGTACGGTCTTCAACAACTAGAAGAACATATACCATATACTTACAACTTACAACTCACCTTAGCACCAAGTGTCGCATAGGGCACAAAAGGAAGCCTTCCATCTAAGTCTGCTGCTTGTAGTTGTACTTCTACCCATGTCCTCCAACTAATGTCTATATTTTCTTTATCTACCATTCGTCTCCCAGTTTCCTTTGGTCTTCCTACATTTCTCTTTCCTGGTGGTGTCCAAGTCAAGGCGATTCGACAATCGTTCCATGGGTCAATCCTCATGGTGTGACTTATCCAAATCACTCTCCTGCTGCACATGTTGGCTCTTTGCAGTAGTTCTGTGTTGGAAATCGCAGCTGGCCAAAATATCCTGAATATTCTACGCAAGTTTTTGGTGTTAATGGTGTTAAGTCTTTCTTCATCTCTCTTGCTTATCTTCCAACATTCCGCGCCATAAAACAACACTGGTATAACATTGCTTTTATAAATTTCATTTTGGTGTTCCTACTATATTAGTTTGATGCCCATAGTTTTATAAGCTTGTAGTATGCTGCTCTTGCTTTTTTTTTTATTCTAATACCATATAGTTAGCTATAAAAGGCCCCCGTGATAAGTCGCACCCATAAACGACGAAAGACGGACGGGAGTGTGAGTACTAGAAATTAAAAAAAAATATTCGTGGTCATCTCTGACACATGCAGATGTTCCATAACAGTTAACCAAATCATAGTCCGTAATACTTTTGAAGAGATGATTTCAACTTTATCAAGAACCTTCGATTCAATAGCTTCAATGAAAACAGCAACACTATTTTAAGGAAATTGTTATAGAAAACGCAGGTCACGTACTACCGTATAATCTTGCAGTTATATACTCCGTATGTATGTGCAGCTTATTACTAAAAATAACGTAAGGGTCCCACGGAACCATTTGTCTCGCCTGCAATAGCTGCACTCAGTCTAAAAGTGTAATGTTGACTGTAAAAAGAAATTCCATTCATCACTAAAATACAAAAATGTTTTTTTTTTTTTTTAAATCTCACTTGTTTCTTCAGATGTTATTTCTTGGTCTTAAAGATTAGCTTATGTCCACGTTTCATAACAATCCAAGAATGTTTACACATTTATCTTGTCAAAATAATTTAATCCCAAGAGTGTTATGTAAATGTTAACTGCAAAAACTAAAGTCCTTCTATCAGTAAAATACTGAAAAATTAAAACAGATATTATCCAGAAAGAAAAACAAATTCTGCCAAAGTTTGATAAAATTCGTTGAAACTTTGACAAATTAACTGATGTCTAAACAACTTAAATACCAGTTGACTGCAAACAAAACCCTGATTCCTTTCATCAGCAGAAAAGAAAAAATGAAAAAAATATATTTTCATGACTGTGCTCTGATCTTCTGATCATGAAAATGCTTCAGTCCAATTGGCTTTTAACTTCAAGAGGGTTTGACAAAGTCGCAGACTCGTCAATAAAAATGAAAAGTTGACAATGATAATTTAAAGTTATCTCAAATATTCGCAAAGTTTAGTTCTTAAACTGTGCTATCATTTATTTGAAGTTCAGTGGGATAAATGCAGACGGAATAATCACCATTAACAACTTGCGGGATTTTCAGAGTCTACATCGCAAATCATAGACGTAACCAGATCTGCAAACACTATAAATAGTGGTGTCTCCCACTTCAATGGAACATTCAATTTTTTTATTACATGCCGCCATTGTGCAGATCATAATTTCATATTTTATTTTATTTTCTGATTTATGATAAGGCATTTCCCATTTGGTAACATGGACATACCTAGTATATTTATCTGTAATGCCAGTTTGAATCGAGGCGATTGAGTACTTGGTCTATCGTTTAGACACAAAGTTCTTATGAAACAAGGTTGGACTAATGTATGATGAAAACACACCGACAATGCCATGGCACAAAATCAAAAAACGAAGAAAAGACAAACAACAGTACAAAAAAAACACCAAGAAAACCAAAGACTGAGCAACACAAACCCCACAAAAACCCGAGAGCGATCCCAATCGCTCCGAGTCAAATTCAAATATAAATATCTAATTTCTGATCTTGAAAACCGCCCTAAGATCGCCAACTATACGTAAAAACAAAAATGTAAAAACACATTTATCGTTTATCTTTTTTTATATAGAAAAACCAATTCGTCTTTGTATATATATTAGAGGATGTCATATGGTATTGCCATTTGTTACTGTTGAAAATGTTTTTGTGACCTCTAGAAATCTGTTGTTTTTTTAAGGCATTGCTGTCTACTGTACGTCCGGAAAGTATTTGTGTCACGGAAGTTTTACAGGCGTATAGTACCACGTTTGTAAAACTGATCATCCGTATTACATGCGTTCTAAAACATCAGTTTTATGGACTTTCCTCAGACATTTATATAACGTCTG